AGACAGGGGTAAGAGGAACTCAGAGGGGAAGCAAGGCATCTGCTGTTTGGGTAGGCTGGGAGCCTTCTTAGAGAAGGAGTTGTTGGAAGGGGGTCTGGTCTGATGGGTAGGTATTTTTTTTTATTTTTTTAAAATGTTTTATTTATTTCTGAGACAGAGAGAGACAGAGCATGAGGGGAGGGGCAGAGAGAGAGGGAGACACAGAATCAGAAGCAGGCTCTAGGCTCTGAGCTGTCGGCACAGAGCCCGATGAGGGGCTCGAACTCACAGACTGCCAGATCATGACCTGAGCCAAAGTCGGATGCTCAACCGACTGAGCCACCCAGGTGCCCTGGGTAGGAATTTTTTAAGAAAAGAAGAGAAAGTATATACTGTGGAGAGGAATAGCCCACTCAAAGGCCTGGAGGGGACAAAGCAAACACCTGTTTTTTTTAAAGTTTATTTATTTTTTGAGAGAGAGAGAGAGAGAGAACACGCATGAGTGGGGGAGGGGCAGAGGGAGAGAGTGGGAGAGAGAATTCCAAGCAGGCTCCACACTGTCAGTGCAGCTCTTGAACTCATGAATAGTGATATCATGACCCATGCCAAAATCAAGAGTCAGATGCCTAACCAACTGAGCCACCCCACTGCCTTGCGAGCACCAGGGTTTTGAGCAACCATGAGTTGAGTGCATAAAGAGCAATGCTGGTGAGAGGCAGGGAGAAGGTGGAGGGGACAGCAGAGCCAGCGGGGCTGCAGGACTGTGTGGGGGCAGGGGGTTTATTCTGAGGGTTCTGGGGAGCCATGGAGGGTGTGCAGGTCAGGAGACAGAGACATTTGGAGTGGGAGAGATAGAGAGAGAAATAGAGGTGAAGAAAGAGAGAGATACAGAGAAAAATTGAGGGAGTCAGAGAGGACATACAGAGAATGTAAAAGAAACATACACAAACACATATCATCTATCATCTATCATCTACCCATGCATCTCTCATCTCTTTCCTTTCTCTCTTCATCCATCCACCCATGCATGCATGCATGCATCCATACGTCTGTCCATGCATCCATCCAACCATCTTCCCATTTATCTGTCATCCCTCTTCTCTCTCTTCCCCTCACTCTCTCTCTCTCTCTCTCTCTCTCTGTCTATGTATCTCTCTATAATCTATCTATCTCTCTCTATCTCTCTATCTCTATCTATCTATCTATCTATCTATCTATCTCATTATCTATCATCTATCTATCTATCTATCATCATCATGTTGCTCTCCATCATCTAGCTATTATCATCTGGCTGTCTATCACCTACCTAAAGATAAAGAGGAAGATTGTGAGAGTGAAGGGAGAGGGAGAGGCACATAGATAGACACACAAAAAGAGACAAACAGACCAACAAAGGGAAGCTGACTTGGTGAGATGTAAAGGTGTAGACTAATAATGCAGGCAGAAGAGGGGATGCAGTGGGAAGTTGTAAGCTTCTGGGGCTGCTGCCTGACCTGGCCTTCCTCCTCCACCCTGCCATCCCCAGGTAAGGAGCAATGAAGAAGACTTGAGGTTCATGGAGAGTCTGAGCCACAGCTTCCGTGATGTTCACCTGTGGTGGATGGGGCCCATCTACCCACTTCTGCGGTTCGTCCACCCCAAGTTCGTTGCCCCCCTGCTCCAGGCCCCAGGTATCTCTCCCAGGAGCACCTGACCCAGCCACTCCCTTGTCCCTGTTCCCAGTTCTTTGCACCTCTGGACAGACCAGGTTGAGCAGGGAAGTAGGTAGTATTGATGGAGACCTGCCATTAACCTGCTGGGCGACTCTGGGCAGGTCCCTGGCTCTCTCTGGTTCTCAGTCGTTTTCAATTTTGAGTGGTGGAAATTCAGCAATGTTGGTCTAAGAGAAGAAAGGGAATCTATTGACTGAAAAGCTGAAGGAATGTTGTCTTCAGGCGTGGTTGGATCCAGTCTTCAAACAGTGCCATTGGGAATCTGTCTTTCTCTTGTAGTTCTGTGTTCCTTGGTGACAGCTTCACTCTCATGTTGACAAAGATGAGTCT